TTGGCTGGAATCCAGCAGCGACCACTCTTCACTGGTGAAATGAACGGCTACCTCCTCAAACAACACAGGACCCTGAACAAGGAAGAATCCCTATTAGCAGACTTAAGATTCTTTTGAGTCCAGCAGTATGTAACCACAAAAGAAATGAATACATTTCCAAAACAGTCTTGATAAGTAAGCTGAGTATGACTGATCACTAACTTGAATTCTAATTTCCCTGTCCCGTGTCGCTCAGGAACAGCAGTATCATACACTGAGGCCCCAAATGTAACCGGAGGTCTCCAACTGCTGCCCCATATTAGCCCCTGATCTTTTCCTTCCTACCTGAGCTGCAGGTCCAGCCACTGTTTCAGCTCCACCAGTACAAGGAGATGATCCTATGAATAACAGTGACTCCATTTTGTTCCCTGGGAAGGAGAGAGATGTGATGGAGGAAGGCTTGTGGTTGTCACTGGAAATGGAGCTGACAGGAAAGGGAAAAACTCCATCTTTTCTATCTTGAAGGTACAACTTAAGACTTCTTCCTGTCCAGCGAAGGAAATTCCCTCTGTCAGTCCTACCCTCTGCCTTTAGTAGCCTTCCATGCGCTCCATCTTGGGAGCCAAGAACAAAAGTAGAAGAGGGGAACACAGCCCCACCACGCACTGGGAAACAAACCCCAATTGGACCTCTCTCCTAGCCTTTTGGGCAGGAATGAGCCAAGAAGGATACGCTTGGCAACCAAAGCATTCGCTCAACCACAGTACTTAAGTTCCATGTGGATGGGCAACCAATGAAATTCTGTCACCCCAGGAACATGCCTACAAGGACAGATGGTGTCAGAGATGGTCCAGCAGGGATATGTGTGAGAATTCAGTAGAAATTATCTATCAAGAAAGGCCAAAGACAGGTTGCTCCCCTCCCCATCTCTGAGAACAAAGAGAAGTATTTCAGGATGGAGCAGTCAGAATGTAACCCAGGGCATTCCCCAGAAGAAGTCTGTCTTCTGCAAACTGGCAATTTGAAGGGAGGGACTTCCTTCATGGGACTTAAGCCTTCTAGCTTGAAGATGGATAGTTAAGTCTTTCTTCTTGGGCCACCTTCTAGTAACGATTAAAGATGAGAAGATACAGAGAATTAAGAATAACTAGAATCTTTCTGGAAAACCTCCAACCATCCAGAAGGATCTTCTCTTACCTAATGAGGTATCCTGACATTGACCTTCCTCTTTGGAGATCCCTCTGAAACACAGCTCCTGAGAGGGCTTTGCAGGATCCACCCTTTCCTTAGAACAAACAGTGGCCACCTCCAGGAAGGGCCTCAGAACCTGATATATAGGCGAAGAAGAGGAGTTAAGAGAACAGAACAAAAGAGAAACTGGATTTTCAATTTTTGCTCACAACATTGCAAGCCCTCTTTGTCCATCAGTGGGAATGAAAGAATTGCTCCCAAGACATCCTCTGGAAAAACACAGGAACAATTTCTCTAATGAACTTCTCTAAACATCATGTTGTATTATGAGTTGCAAAAACTCCCTTAGGAAAAGATATAAGAATTTAATATAAGCACATTAACACCCCTTTATATTTCCCAAAATGAGTGTCTCTCACCTGATGCTCTTCCTGCTCCTTCTCTTCTGCCCAGCTCAGGAGGAAGCCTTCGGCCAGGGCCACCGCCTGGGAGCTGGTCTCCGCTCGGCACTCCTGCACCCAACGCTGCATCTCCGTGGGCAGGACAGCCAGAAACTGCTCCAAGATCACCCGGTCTAACATCTGGGCCTTGGTGTGTTTCTCTGGCTGCAGCCACC